GGACGCCGCTTCATAATGCCTGTGATAAGGGGTGTGAGGCGATTGTGCGGATTCTGCTGAGCGAAGGCGCGCATATCAACGCACAGCTTTTGAATGGCATTACGCCGCTGCATCTTGCTGCGCAGGGCGGCCATCGCGAGGTCGTGCAGTGTCTTCTTGAGAAGCCTGATCTGAAACGTCGGGTTAGGGATAATTTTGGCAGTACGCCGTTTCTGCGTGCGGCGCAGTTCAAGCGGAAGGATATTGTGCTGTTGCTGGCGCCGTTTAACAATGTCGACAGTCTATCTGATGGTGTCAAGGAGGCTTGTGCGGCGTTCGATGCTACTGTTGTTGACTTTGGAAACTTCCATAATGAGAATCGGGTTAAGCGCATGTCGGTATTTAATCTGCTTTATGGGAGGGATCCGGAGAATCCTAGGAAACAGGCTGTTACCACTGTGCCGGTTGATAGTCGTGGGACTGATTTCCGGTGGATTCACTTACCGGCGAACAATATGGCGTGGGTGGAAGCTCTGCTTACCAAGTCCTTTATTGAGGAGGGCGCACATGATGTTGATGGGTTCAAGGGGCTGGAGAAGTCTTTCAACTATCAGCATCGGGGTCAAAGGACTCATTCGCACTTTATGCGACCGTTGTGTCAGAATACGCCGCGGACGATGCTGCGTCGACATGAAGAGGAGACTCCGGAGGAGCCTGCGTCTGAGAATGGGCAGGTAAGGGCCATGGATAGCCCTGCCCGCAAGCAAAAAGGCACAGGCAGCAAGCCTGAAAAGGCGGATTCTTATTTTCACGACGAAGGGCATGGAAAAAAGAACAAGAACAATCCGAAGCGCGGCAAGTCGGGTAGCGTACCAGGGACTCCCAAGCAGGAGACGAAGGGGAAGTCGGGCCAGGGCGAGAAACAGAGGTCATCACTGTCTTCATCAACCTTTTGCAAAGACCCTCACCCTCTGGTTTCTGCATGTAATGTCTGCGTGTTCATGCCGTATCTACATTTCGAGACCACAGAGCGCAGACAACAGATGCAGGATGCAATCTCCCGAGCGGAAACGCTTGATTTTATACCCAGGGGGATAAAGAGAACGCGCACAAGAGACGAAATACTCATATATGCGCATCTATCGTCCTCAACGACCTCCCTCCATGTCCGCCGAACACTGGACCAGTTTTTCTACCCGAATATCGATACCAAGAGTCGTGATCAGGACCAAGTTGTGTACCGGTACCAAACAAAAAGCCCCGGAATGGGGGCAGACCCCAAGATATTCATGGTGGATCAACTCTGGATGTGGGTTCTAGGCACGAATCTGATTGTAACGGCCTTCCCGCAGAGATGGGACCAGCCCAAGAATGACCCGCTTAATGTGCTGGATGGGATTATCGAGGATATCAATTCCAAAACCCGCGACCCTGTCAAATCCGTCTATGATCTAGCCATGATAATCACCAATCGATGCTCGGGTGTCTTCGATCGACACCGCCTAGGCGACGAGGAGTACCAGTTCCTAGATATGTTCGAGTCATCTATAGGTATAGCCACGGACAAAGAGACCGTGCTTTTTAACCAATTCAACCACGCCTCCGGGCAGGCATCAGAGTGGCTGAAAAGTCACCGCAAGCTGAACGGCTCCTTCAGCTCTCCGCCAAAGTCCTACAATGGGACCGACGAGCAAGATCAAAGCAGCAACTACTGCGACGAGGACGGCCAGCCACTATTCGTCGACCGACTCCTAGACATCGGACAGGAAACCAATCTCCTAGCGGAGACAAAGGACATCAGAGACGAGCTGAACATGATCCGGACGGTGCTGGAGCACCAGAACAACGTCCTGCTCGACTTCCAAGAAGTCGTCTGCGAGACCTATCAAGGCCAGCACCGGTCCCAATTCGAAGTCAAGAAACGGTTCAAAGACCAGCAGCGCATGATCGACATGCACCTAAAGGATATTGACCGCATGGATAAACAAGCCGAGCGCATCTACCACTCCATCACGGACCTGCTCGATCTGAAACAGAAACACGCGAACGCGTTCGAGGCCCGCTTCGCCCGTGACCAGGCTGCCGGTACAACCCGCCAGAGTAAGACAATTATGGTCTTCACTATTGTCACTATTGTCTTCCTGCCGTTGTCGTTTATCGCCTCCATCTTCACGATCAACCTGAAAGAATTCGAGAGCTTGAATCTCGGCTATGTGGCAAAGTATACCTTTGGTATTGGCTTTGCAATCTCCATCCCGCTTGTCTGGGTCGCTCTCACCGTTGATGATATCGGGGGTTTCTTCCGCGTGGGCAGTCGACGCTGGTTGTCTAACCGGGCGAAGGTGTCTGCGAAGAGTGAACGAAGCGAGGAAACGCTCCAGGCTTTGGAGATGGAGAAAATTATGAGTTTACCGCGCATGAGGAGGAGTGTCGATGTGGAATATGGTGGTGGTCTGCTACCTGTTTCTACACGCGGCACGGGGGCCTCGAGGCGGCCTGATCTATATGGTGGATTGAGCAATGGCACTATGCGGAAAAGTTACGACCTGCGGCCTAGTATGGACTCCAGATTACGATGATATGATTTATGGCATCTAATGATTGGATATTGTGATTATTTGCTGTTTCGAGTAGGCAAAAGTTGCATATACCCGTTTTCTACATAGCGTTAAAAGTGATTAAGTTTCAGATGAGAATTGAGAAGTTCATTTAAGTATGCATCACCTCGGGTGACACAAAATGTCGATGACCTGGAGCGGTTCTGACTTCTTCGCATAGTGAGGCACGTATTGAGGCAAAGCGCCGGTCATACCGAGGTATGTCTCCAGCTGACGTAACGTCTGGGGAAATTCCAGACCGGCAATGGCTTTGATCTTGTCTTCCGGCGTACATACCTAACGCGTCTACCCGCTGGCCCAAACGTGAGACCTCGGGGAAGGCGACCTAGGCTTTCTTGGGTTCCAAGGAGACTCCGTGCTTCCCAAGCACACCTAGAACAAGGGTTAAATGTTCGATATGCTCGTCAAAGGTATCAGAGATCACCGACAATCCATCAAAGATGTACATGAAGAGCTCACGGGCCGTACTCTATCTTTGTCGATTTCGACTGCTGCTATGTCCTATCCTAATCGATTGGTGCTCGTACGCGGGTATTCATCCAGATCTCTCCGGACTAGGCTTTGTTTGGATCATATAAGTCGCTCTTTAAGTTCCCAACCATCAATGCGGGGATCACTTCGGCAACCACGATCTGACTGCGATCTGGAGATTGACTGACGCGAGATGCGGAAGTGCAAGCTCTTTGCAACCATCACGAAGAAGCCGAAGAAGATGAACTGGACGATGAAGGTTATGTTCGAGTCTGTTTCACGCATAGAGCCATTGTTCAACTCGAAAGGAAGAATGTGAGATACATGTAACCCATGTACACCGAACCTCGAGAGAACACATCTATTCCCATCTCGAGCCAAGACCTAAATATGTAAAGTTAGCATTATATATCACAGATCATCTCGATCAACATACCGCATCCCTGACTGCTTTACTACGTGCCGAAACTCTGGGTGCAGCTTCTTCCGACGAGGAAGAATCTGTCGGTTGCTCACCAGATGGACTCGAGCAATGATCCTTTGGACGCTTCCCAGAAGGCGAGGCTCATCTTCGGCATTGTACTTATTTTGCCCCTTATCTGGTTTGGGCTGTTTTCTGCCCGCCTCTTGTATACATGAAGCTCATCTAAGATGAGATGTGGTTAGCAAACGCCTACGGTCCGGTTTTGGTGACAGGGGCTTCACTTACCATCGCAATGTAAGAGAAAAGAGACCATATCTCCTCTCACTAGGGGCGTAGTTATCCTCTTAATTGACATCAAGCTCAGGTGCTCCGCATGTGTGGGGTTTTCATTTATAAGGAAGCGATAGGGGGTCTTATTCTAGCCGCGGCTAATAGTAGCGATGTGAATAAGGTCGACTGGGCCGTCTGTGTCCTTAGGATTTAGGTATATCGCCGAATCAAATGCGCGGAGAGTCAACTGTGCTAGGGAATCTTTAAGGCTAGCTCTAGATTGTGTGAGTTGAGAGTTAGTGGTGTTTTTACAGAGTAAAACAAGAACCGTGACATACCTATTCTGCCGATCCCAATGCGTTGGGTGCGGAATCTAGCACCATGCTGGTACTTCACTCCGGGCCCAACCTAGTCCGGGTTGGGTTTTTGGTTGTCACGATGCTGGCAGCATGGTGGCTTGATGAGCTGATAATTGTAGTGAGCAGTCGCAGCGCTGGAGAAGATGGTGAGGATGACAGCGGCTGAAAGGGAAATATTGTATCCTCAGATATATATATATAGACATCGTGGTGATATAGTTTTCAGACTAGGAAAAAGGATGATCAACCAGAAATCTGGAGATTGAAGTGGATGGATGATGAGGATCGAGCTACTGCCATGAAGCTCTCTATATAGCTCCATCAGATCTCATCCACCAAAAAGTAGAAGAAGCATCCCTGCAGGCCAACAAAGGAAAATCTGAACGGCAAGCTGTCTGCGAGAGATAAAGGAAATAGAAGGAATGCCACAGAGAGGTTTACGAAGTGCATGGGTTAACAATGAACGCGCCCAAATGCATCACTTGGAATAAGACGAGTTGAATATTGAGAGAAATTTAGTTAATTGATGCTAATTGGGGAACACGGTTGGACTTTATATTAGGAAACAGCACTCGGCGTGACAATAACCATCGAACCATAGCCCATAGCCTTGAACCTGAACTAGATTCCTCTAGATCTAGACTGTTTATTCATTCTAAATGAGACATACTGATAAATATTTACTCTGGTCTACAGGAGCCTACAGCACGAGCAAAATTGGTGTTTCTGCCACTCGACCTTGAGCAGCGATTTATTATCCCATAACTAGTGAACAATTTCAAATATTAAACAAGGGAAATCAAAAATTCATAACTCCAACTCCAATTGACCCAAAATCACAGAAACTCAAACTCAGAAACCCAGAAACTCGACCTGTGCTCACTGCACAGGAACCTTGACATACTCTCTGGTCTCACCATCGTCAACTTCGCTTCCTTCAGACTCCACCGGAGTGAGAGTCCTCTCATCGACGACCATGGCGTCCTTCTCATTCTCCAAGGCACCATCCTCCACAAAAACCTTCTTCTTCCCAACCTCAGGTTCCTGGACAATTTTCGGCAAAGTAACATTCAAAACACCATCCTCCAACTTGGCCGAGATGCCATCAACAATAATCAAAGCCGGGACAACACGAGTCCCAAGGCGGATCTCGCGCTCAAAGACACCAACGTGCTGACCCCGCTCTTCCATTACAAGAGCCTGGTGCAAATCCTCATTGACACCGGGGCGATAGACAACACCCGACAGATGCAGAACAGACTCATCAGCGTCGTAGTCAATGCTGAGATCGCTCTTCTTAGCTCCGGGAAGTGAGACATGGACAATGTATTTGGCGGGGGTATCGAAGACGTCAACGGAGGGCGTGAAGTCAACACCCTCTGCGGTAGGCGCATTCATAGGGAAGCCAAGTCCTGCACCGAGCTGGCGCAGGAAGTCGAATGGACCGCCGAAAGGAGGTGGAGGTCCGCCGTGTCTGCCGCGGCCTCCTTTGTGGGGGTGACCCTGTCCACGGGGCCCGAAACCGAAGGGTCCACCGTTGTGGTGGGGGCCGGGGAAACCGTATGGTCCAGCGTGGGGACCGTGTCCGTATCCATGTCCATGCCAGCCCTTTCCACCGCGTCCAGGACCTCCGAAGGCACCGGCACCGTGGTGGTGGCCATGGCCGTAACCGTGGAATTCATAAGGCCCGGCGTGAGGGCCGTGGCCGTAACCGTGGAAGTCGTAAGGTCCGGCGTGAGGGCGATGACCGTAGCCGTGGAAGTCATAAGGCCCGGCGTGAGGGCCGTGGCCGTGTCTTCCCTTACCACCCATGCCGCGGAAGGGACCTGGTCCATGGTGACCGGGACCTCCATGGCCCTTGTTCTTGAATTTTCCGCCGCGGCCGTGGCCGTGGTGGCGGTGGTTGTCAGGAGAGTCAGAGTCCGATGCCGAGGTTTCGATGTTCTCTTTAGAGGCGTCGGCCAGCTCACCGACTGCTTGGGGTGTTTCAGAGTCCTGTGAGAATTCCTTGGTGCTGTGAGGGCCGTGGTGGCCGTAGGGGCCGGCGTGAGGGCCATGTCCATGTCTGCCCTTGCCTCCTCTGCCACGGAATGGGCCTGGACCGTGGTGGCCGGGACCTCCACGGCTACCGTACTTGCCCTTACCATTTCCGCAGTGGTCGCAGCGATGGTTGTTGTCTGGGGAGTCAGAGTCCGATGCTGACGTTTCGTCCTTCTCCATGTCGGCGTTGGGCTCAGTGGTTTCACCTGCTTGGGCGTCTCGGTTGGTATTATCGCTCTGCTGGGGGGTATCCCATCCACGAGGTCCACGACGTCCGTGGTGTCCGCGGTGGCCGCGAGGAGCAAAGAAAGGATGGTCCTCTAGATTGCCGTTGACAAAGTCCCAAAACTGACTGGTAGGTTGGTTGAGTTGGTAGATGGAAGCCATCTTGAAGTAGTTGTTCGATGTAAGATATGTGACTTGCGCGAGAAAATGATACGTTGGAAGATATCAAAAGGCGAGAAAGTAAAGCGAAGAACAGTGAAGACACTTGATCTGATATTAGGTATGCACGGAAGCAACATGATCTTTATATACAACTGGTTGTACACTCAGGCAGCCATGTAAACCGCCACCCTGGAAGTATACGTACAACGCTGCCTAACCTGCTGGACGCCAGCAGAGCTCGGGGCCGAGAATTCGTCCCAATGGAGCAATATATCGGTGATAACGATGAATTAAACGATGATCTCCGTACCTTCGAGGAACTTAAAGCTCGGAGGGGCGAATAAAGATACATGGGGTAGAACAGCGGAGAAAAAGAACATCCCGATTAGGTAGTCTCCCCCTAAATCCGAGATTCTGACTCAGAAAGGGCCGCGCCACTCCAGATACACGTCTGCGCCACACGACGCCACGCACGATGTGTCAGCTATTGTCATCGCGTTTCTCACCGCCTATGAAGTGAAGCCAAAGGGAGGCATGATAACCTTGGAATCCCCGTTGATGCGAACGGACCGACCGATCCGCTTCAATGTCGTGACAGTGGCCCGGATGCTTTCTAGACGTGTTATGACCGGGACAAGCCTTGAACTAGACCCTCCTTCCGCAGTGCTGGCCCTCTCCGCAGTGCTGGCCCCTTTCCGCAGTGCTGATGAGTTGGGCAGCTGTCAACCTTGGGAGTCCTCGAACAAAAGGGGGAGACAACGCGAGAAAACAACCCGGAACCTAGAAAACCAAATCTGCATCCAAGCTCTAAGGAGTAACCCGGTAGAAGCTCGGAGACACGGAAGTTTCGACGCGGTGGAATCTCGGGAGCGTCCAAGCTCCATGCCGGTGGAATCTCGGTGATCCTTAAATAACTCGGGACTACATTTGTATCAAATTCATGTGATTCCGCCAAGCCCTAGCTCCCGAGGTCAACCCCCATCATATGATAGAATCATATGACACTCACCGCGAACTCATATAGCGGCGGTATTCTCCTCTTTTTCAAAAGTTACCCTCGGAATGCTTTTGCTCGACTTATAGACATCCGCCAAACCTTTCGGTGCCGAATGAACAACATGTACTGGCACCTCCCTATCGTCTCCGGCGGCACGTGCAGCCCGTTATCACCGCTGGCTCCGAAGGGTTCCGGGTGTCCACGAACTTGATAGATGGATCAGTAATAGCAGCCTTTCAATTCCCACCTGCATTCTACGGCACTAGTACCCGATAGAATATGGATCCTACCGAGTGGACCAGGCCCGCTCCGGTCCTGCCGACGGTGAAGTCATCGATGTGTCAGCGGAAGAGGAAACCTTCCTTAACTACGAGCACCAATCCCATCGCAGGAGTTACAAAGTAGCTCAGATCTGTTTTTTGAACATAATACCCTCGATCTACTGACATACACTGCGTTAGTTCTGCATTACCATGCAAATTCGGCCATTGAGTACCATGATTCCTCTTCGCCGCGAGGCTCTACGTGTACGGAGTTCGCTCCCCCTTTCTAGCACTGCCCTGGTAGTTGGCACACCAAGCAGGAGATGCCTCGCAACACATGCTGAGCCGCCCGCCTTGGCTAAGGAGTCTGATGGCAGGGAACGAGTTGTCATCCTTGGATCTGGCTGGGGTGGTTACAACGTCTCGCGGAAGCTTTCTTCAAAGAAATACGCACCTCTCATAATTTCACCTCGCTCATACTTTGTCTTTACTCCTCTCCTCACCAACACCGCCAGCGGATCTCTCGATTTCTCCAGCATTGTCGAGCCCGTGCGTGATCCGCGCTCCAAAGTCGACTTCTTTCAAGGAGCTGTCCGTTCAGTCGATTTGAAAAGAAAGACCGTCCTAGTCGAATCAACAGTCGTCAAAAGTGGTGTCACCGAGTCTCCTCGCACAACCCAAGATTACCGAATAACCGAGCAAGGCCCGGAAACGAGGAATAAGCCGGCCATGGAGCCGCATCTTCAATGGGAACAGGGAGAAGTGTTCGAGGTACCCTACGATAAGCTTATCATCGCGGTAGGCGCCGTCAGCCGCACGTTTGGAACACCCGGTGTGCGGGAGAATGCCATGTTTTTCAAAGATATCGGTGACGCCAAACGTGTCAAGCGCCGCGTGCGAGAATGTTTCGAGCTGGCTGTCCTCCCAACCACTTCCCCCGAGATGCGAAAATGGCTGCTGAACTTCGCCATTGTCGGAGCCGGTCCAACCGGTATCGAGCTTGCGGGATCCCTGCGCGATTTCATCTACTCCGATATGATGTTGCTATACCCCAGTCTTCATGAATTGCCGAAGATCACTTTGTACGATGTTGCACCCAAGGTGCTTTCGATGTTCGACGAGTCGCTTTCCCGCTACGCGATGGAGACCATGAAGAGCGAGGGTATTGATATCAAGACCTCATATCATGTTAAAAGCTTGCGCTGGGGTGCCCCTGGCGCACCTGGGCCCCACCCCATGGATCCCAAGGGCTGTCTGACTCTTCACACCGAAGAAGACGGCGAGCAAGGCATTGGAATGTGTGTTTGGGCAACGGGTAATGCCATGACAAAACTGGTCACCGAATCGCTTGACACAGTCGATGCATTCCCCGCAGACTCAGTCCAAAGCATCGAGACCTCAGAAAAAGCCGTGGACGCCGAACACGCAGCGTGGAAATTCAAGAAAGCCCCCCGAAAGGGACCCCTTCTCGTCGACGGACATCTGCGGGTACAGCTGCAAAACGAAACAGGCCAGACAGCCGTTCTACACGACGTGTTCGCATTGGGTGACAACGCCATGCCAGAGACCGGTGCCCCCCCTGCCACAGCACAGGCTACCTACCAAGAAGCGAAGTGGCTCGCTGAGCGTTTGAACAAGAATGACCTCGGTCAAACCCCGCCGTTCTCTTTCCGCGACCTCGGCACCATGGCATACATCGGTGACGAACGCGCGTTGATGCAGATTCCCCGTAACGCTGACCGGAGTCCGAAGCGATTCCTGCCAGATGGTATCAAGGGACGTACTGCATCACTTATCTGGAAGATGGCATACATCAGTATGTCTATCAGCTGGCGCAACAAGTTGCGTGTGGCTTTCCGATGGACAGTGAATAAGTTCTTTGGTCGGGATGTTTCAAGATTTTGAAGCTCTTCAAACAGAACTTGTATTTTAAATTCCCTAGATAGAACACATATAAAAATAGAATTGAGGAAATTAAGTCCAAGTCAAGCTTATTTGTTCGTAGACTGGGTGTAGATGACTACCTGCGCGTTCATACTACGCGCTGCGCGTACTTGCGCGTCTTCGGCTACGGCCATCTACACCCCCGCCCCCGCTTTATAAAGATCGGAAAATGACAACCGTCATTGTCACCGTACTGTAATTCTCATGGAAGCATAGACTCTATCGGTAGTTCTGGTGATATAGCAAGATCGCGCCGGCCTGCACTCCCGCACTTTCGCTGAGCATCACAGTCTGCGTACGATACTACACATTAGTACATAGAGTTATGCTTATAATGGCACTTGAGTTTTCTCCCAGCTCGCGCCCAACCTGACTCAGACCGTATTGAAAAGAGCTCTAAATTGCGAGTCGTATTTTTTTCCGCCTCCTTCGTCATTCGTAATGCGGTGTAAAATGATATAACTAACTAACCTTCCGCAGAGTTCTGAGTCACAATTTCTCTTCTTTGACTATCTAACCACAGCGTCCCATATTACCATTTCATCAGAGGACCATGTCCCTCACTCAAGCCAATCCTCTCGTCGATGTTATTTGGTGGACGGATTCCTATCTCTACCTCAAATGCCCCTATTGCGAGGAGCTCCATCACCATCGGTTTAGATCCTACGAAAGTGCCCTGCATGTATCGCGTTGTGGCTTTCCTCGACCTTCATATCGGTACAGATTTCCTGTTGCCTATGAGATTGACAAAGCTAGAGCACGTTTTATCAATATCAACGCTCTTGAAGCATTAGCCAGTTCCGAATATGAGTCATTTTTGTCTGATCAACTGTCCAATATGAATCTATCGAGGATGCCAAGTGGGTTTAACAATCGTGAGATCAGCTTCGAGGACTCCAAAGAGATAATCACCATCCCACTAGAAGGAGAAGAGCCCTTCGAGGAACGTCGCATACTTTTCGCTATATCGAACTGTACCCAGGGTGAAACATCAAAAGTGAGGCATTACCTTACAGAATCAGTCGACAAACCCATTTTCCTTCACGGGCGAGATTATTACGGAGATACATGTCTCATTATGGCTTCTCGAGAGAAAACATCATCCATGATCTCCTTGCTCCTTGACTTTGGCGCTCGAGTCAACGCAACGAACAAGAACGGGCGGACTGCGCTTATGGAAGCCTGCCTTTGGGGTAGGCTGGAGAATGTAAAGATACTGCTTTCTCGGGGTGCCGATCGATCATTGCGTGATAACAAAAATCAACGAGCCCTGAATCTTACCAAACCAACTCATAAGAACCGCAAAGAAAGGCACACGGTTGGGGGTGGGGTCTGGGGCGATCCGAAAGAGCCAATATACAAGGAAGATGTCGTCAACCGAGATATTGATCGACGAGAGATTGCGCGCATCCTTGACGAGGGAGATTTGCACACCAAGGCAGATCTCGTACTACAATATCCCGACACAGCCTCTCACTCCTTCAGAAGGTCATCTACTGGCCAATCGGTCACTCTTTATGGTCCAATTCGACAGTATCCCATATCTACATCTTACAAGACAATTGCTTTGCTAGAAAGGGGCATTCCTTTCCCATCTATAGCGGCAATGAGTGGCTGGGGACACTCACAATGGCCTTCAACACGGGTGAGCGGCAAGGATTGGACTGATAGGGTCCTGAAACTAGCCACCATCGTTGGTCATACTCTCGCTGTTGATGCTCGCAAGGACCACGGTATCCAGGGACAGTTTTTTGCGTCCCACGCGGAAAAGCAACTGATCGCTTATTTTCTCGACCGACATGTTTTTCTAGAAGAGGACAAGAAGCTTGACTCCCGGTTTGATAAAGAAATCGCAGATGAAAATTTGAAAATATCGGAACTGGAGTCTATATACCCTAGCATCCCCCGACTCTATCAGCTCCAATATGATAGAAAGCAACTTGAATTTAAGCTATTTGACAAAGACGATCGATTACTTGGGGACGAATATGACGAGGCACTGGTCCAGCGCTTGAAACGTGAAGTGTCAATTGTTGATGATGAGATTGCCCTCCTTGGAACTCGTCCCGAAATCCGGAAATTAAAGGCTCGAGAGGGTCAGATACAGCTTTGGGAAGATAAGAAAACACTTCAGAGACGCCTCAACCGCATTTCAACAATGGAGCCAGAAGCTACTTTGCGTGGGGCAAGTATTCTGATAACCTCTCCCAGCCGTAAAATTTGTGAGGATTGTCTGCTATTTAAAGACAGAGTGAACTGCTTTTTCGGTCTATCGATCGAGTTACGTGAGTGTACAGCGTGACATTCAACAGTGTTGACGGAAAACACGCCCTATCTGAGATTTCGATTTTCTTTCTATCATCAATTTGCGAGTCGAAAATGGCTGGACCATACTATGCTACAATCAAAGAGAATTGGGAGACTGAATCTATGTCTGCACCATTCCAGAGGAAAGCAGCAAGCTCATCGACATAAAATGTTGGCTTCTTCAACAGGTAATCGCAGAGAGATTTTATGAACAGTAGTGTCACGTTTCATCTCCGGTATATTTGGGGTTGGGGGCTTCTCAACTGGCTCAAGAATCTGCGGATATCAATATCCATTTCCTTGCTACATTCATAGGGAGGACTTTCTATAACATAAAAAGTTTTCAAGGTAGAGCCGTCACTTGTGGAGTTACATATCAAATACATGAGTCCCTGTGGTAGCTTAGGCAGCAGGTGCCACGAGACCCTCTGCCTGCGCTGTCTCATGAGGCTACGGAGAAATGGTGGCTAGAAGGATGGGGTGAGGAAGAAGAGAAGAGGAAGGGGAGGAGGGACCTTTTTATACAACCAATAAACCTTGCCTTCCTAACTTGTGATAGTTCCACCGCACCTTCCTTGAATCGCAAATGTCACATGTCCATTTTCCCAATATCATCTCTCATAAGTTCCTTCCTTTCAATTGACACTTACACACCTTAGGTATTTGGCTACCAAGAATAGATGAAGAAGATAGAAGGCCATTTCAACATTCTATCTAGAGTATCACACAAATCCAACCAGCAAATATCTGAATTTCCCAGGAATCGTCTCTCAATCGGAATCTCCAAAAGAAATTCAAGCCAACCAGCTATACCCAAAGCTCAAGTGAATCTATACACCAGTTAGTATGACAACCCAAAACCCAAGAATGATATACATACCTCATAACATAAGGACAGATACTCTCTCCACCATAGGAAGTCCAAATAGCCTGCTCACGCACCGGCGTACCAGTGTGAGCAGCATTAATCATCGTCTTATCATTGATAAAGATACCGACATGCACAACCTTGTTCTTGCAATCACCACCAGTAGCCCAGAACAAGAGATCACCAGGCTTAGCCTGCGCACGAGGATACCGCTTGCCCAAGCTGGAGTTATACTGGTCCTGCGCGACACGCGGAATTGTCTTCTTCAAAGCCTGGCAGACAGCATACTGTGTCAGACCGGAGCAGTCAAAGCCGCCGCCGGAGGGACCCTTGCAACCACCGCCGCCCCAGACGTACGGGAGGCCTTTCTCCTTCTCGGCTGCGGCGATGATGGCTTTTCCGGTGCCGGTGCTGCTGGTGCTGCCACTGCTACTGCATTTGGCGGTTACGTAGCTGTTGCTGCCGGTTTTCACGTAGTAGTCAGCTACATAGCAGCCGTCGGAGGTCTTGTCCCAGATGTTGTTGCCGGAGATTGAGTCTCCGGTGGTTTGGCAGGTGATTTTGACATCGTGGGCTTTTTTGTATGTCTTGACGACTGTATGGCTTGTTCCAGGGCCGGAGCGGCAGTTGACGGTGTCGCCGGTGATGGGGTAGGCGCTGACCGCTGTTATAGCGGTTGTGAGGGAGAAGGCAATGAGGGAGATGAAATGCATGATGAATTGTTTGGTTGTTGTTTGTGATAGAGAGTTCTTGTTCTCTGTGGTTTAGAAGGGCTGAGTTGGAGAAGAGGAATCCGAATGGCGATGAACATTGAAGTCTTTATAGACAAATCATTCACGCTATGCTATGAGAAAATCTACATGCTATTTCTGTCTTCGTATTTCCCTTGCAGGAGGAAATGAGCCTTCACTCGTATTTCACCCTCTGATCCAACACGATCGCCGTGGCATTCGCATTATAGACCCCAAACAAGTGAGATCTCCAAAATTATTTACAAAAATAACAATTTCAAGGAATCTATTACAAACTAGCTGGGATATTGCTTGATCCTTTCTCGTAAGTTCGTGACCCTGCATTCATACTCTCCTAGCAGCCACTAACAACACGAGGAACACGAACACTAATTATAGCGGATGCAACTATAATATATTTGTTTCACGAGCGCCATCGCATTCCCCGCATTTTGAGTTACGTGCCAAAACTGATGCGATTGAGTGGTTTGTTCAACTCGACAATGATAGTGTCAAGATTGGTTGGAAGGGGCTAGAGTGGAGGCCGGGCAACGGGCTAAAAGTGGACACGGCACAGGCTTCTTTAAAAGACATCTGTTACATCTCTTTGCGTATGAGCAAGGAAATAATGATTCTTATAGTAGACTTGAGGGGAGGTGTTGGGAATGCGCATGATTCGAGGTGAAGAATGTTGCCGGGCCAATTGTATGCAATTAACACCCTATTTCCTTTATTATTTTTGGAGATGAAATCAATAGGTGATTAGTTTCTTATTCTCTTTTTGACCACTCAACAGCTTAGCAATAATTTCTGAACATAAATCAGTCCATGTGGTGAAGGACTCGACGCCCCGGCGCGAGGTAAGCGAGACATAAAAAGAACATGCAAGACCTGGAGTTTCCAATCAACCACATGCATTTACTCACAACATCGCCAAATCATGTGCTATAATCCCCATCCACTCGTACATCTCATGACAAGTCATGGCCTACACCATAGCGCTCACCTGAGTTTCCACCCAAAGAAACTCTTATTGAGCGACGCAACCGACAACACGCAAAACTAGGGTGGAAGTTTGTATCCAGGCTTCTTGGACTTTCAATCTTGTTGGGGTGGAGTTGGCCGTGGGGATGGGCCATATATCGTAGCTCATATGGCAGCACATACGATGAAGACTGAGCCAGAGCCATTGAAAACCTCGACCAAGCCTGTCTGGCTGACCTGGCGTTTTATGAGCGCAGCTGGCCCCGAGAGGTAGCTACATGTGCTGAGTTGATCCGCGAAGGCTATTGAAATGCTATTATTGAAGATCCCATCTTGGAGGGGGTGTAGGAAGCTACGACTCAACGTCGGCATGCATTGAGAAATGAGTCAGACCTTCTGATACTGAGATGCCGAAATGATTGCCACGCGAAAATTACCATCACGCCTCAAAATTGAAGCCGAAGCAACAGTCGGAAGATTCTGTAGAGCCGAGCTAATCTTAGGCGAGGTACGGAGTACTTGATGGCGGCATCGCCTCGGATATTCCATGTCAAAATTGAGACCCTCTTTACCGACGCCAAGTGCTTAGCTTCATTTTCATAGTTTTGATCCCTTCTTCTCCGGAAAGGCCCGAACCCTCTGCTTTAACAGAACTCAATTCTATATTTGCGAGTGTCTACTAGATCGATTAGAGAAAAGAGACTTGAAAATGCCCTGACTCTTCTTGCCATCACACGAACCTAGCTGAACTATAACCAGTAGAGCCTCGACGCTTAATCTGTTGCCATTGATGCCCCTTTTTTGGAGTTTGAATAGTTCGAAGTTTGTGCTACTACAAGTGAAATTTGAAAAAACGTCGATGTAACAAAGACGCTCTACTAGCGCATTTACTCGGAGAGCACCTATGGTGTTGTGAACAAATACTAACCCAAGCATTAGAGCTATAGTTGAACAACCCCAATATCTCGATATTTCAGGTATCGACTGACATGTCTTAGTGCGGTAACAAAACCTTGACGTTCAAACAAGAGACCTGCTCCAAAGATTTCTTCATGGACAGAGTCGTTGGCTACTACGAAGGATGGGCCACCCATCGTCGCTGCCATGAATCCTGGCCAGAGCAAATACGGGATATTGATCTCTATAGCAGATTGACCTCTGCAAAAGCCTCGGACAAGGACCTCAAGGTGATGATGGCTAGGCAGCCGCAAATTCAACGACCCTGGCCGAGCCGCAACAGTTTTTTTCTGATCTAGCAGCATCAGAAGGAAAGCAAGACAAATGAACTCTTCTCTATATGCGGAGAACTGTGGCGATAAGCTTGTTGCTGGGAATTCTCGAGTGTGTAGTCGAAAGTGAGGGGTAAGAATGCACCAAGGATAGCCGCTAGACTGGACATATTGGAAATACCAACATTGATTGTCAGACAAGATCTTAACCGCTCATACTAAATAGAGAGATACATTACTATTTCCAATCCGCCTGGGCGGCTAGCTGCATTTCGTGATACCAAACTTGCCAGCAGAAAAAGCGGGGAGAAAGAAAGGCATTAAAGAAAGGACGATCTCAGCATCAAACCACAAGCCAGTCCTCGAACAATCTCCATCCGCCTCAAACTCCCACCAAAATGTCAACCTCCCAAATCTACCCAGTCTACAAAGTAAAACTCAACCTCTCAATGCAAGACCCAGACATGCCCTCACCCCGCTACCACACCATCCTCTTCGTGCAAACAAACGCCCAAGGCCCAGGCAGCGGCACGAAGCACCACGTCACGGGCGACATAGTCACAGGCATGCACTACGAGCCCGTGAGCTACGACGACCCAGAAACAGACGAGAACTTCTTCTCCAAGGAGCTTATCGGACATACGCGAGCTCTCAACTACCCGAAGAACTGGAACGATATTCTCAGTTCTGTTCCCGCGCCGCCGAAGCAGAAGGCGTTTAATACAGTGACGATGAGGACGGAGCCGGTTAAGAGTTGGGATCCGGTGGTGTTTTATGAGCCTGGGGAGCCGCGTCGGCCGTTGGTTAAATGCACGGAGTGGATTGAGGATCGGGCGATTCCGATTTTGATTAATGCGGGCTTAGTCCAGTGAGGTATGAGCATATAGCTGGTGCTTCTTGTTAGAGAGAAGGACTTGATGTGGAGGGTTAAGGGAGATTGATATCCTGGCTCGTGTGATCGGTGCTTGGTTGGTGTTAACGGTTAACGGAACTTCCCTTGTGGGTCCCAGTGCTGCTGTCGATGTATTCGGCGGTAGTAGATATGGTGGTGTTAGTACTTTTATCGGCGAGGAGAGGGCATTCTGGAGGGCCGAGGCTTGTTAGTATTTATACTTATCCCGGGTTGCGGAGGGTGGAATAGGGAATTGAGAGGTAGTTGCCCTCAGGGACTCTACAGATAAAAGATAGACAGAAACCTGGATTTTCACCGGCTGGTGATATTCCAGTTCATTTCTTTTCTTTTGAAGTCATCATAAAACATAAAAAAATCGCAACAAATGACCCATCCGATCATAAAAAGCTATTAAATGACTTCCCCTTAGATAGCCATATTGGCACAAGTAAAGGCAGGCTCGACCGAACCCGAGTAGTCAGAAATGATGGCCTCAACGGCTGCATACAGCCCCGGACCCAGCAAGAACAGACCAATCATCAAGATGAGAAGATTGAGCAGAGTGTTAGCGGTTCTCCCGAGACCGCTGAACAGCGATCCCCGGTTGAGCTGCCAGTACGCGACGGCGAAATAAATGAACCCGAAGAAGGAATCAAAGGCCGCGCTCAGGAGGGAAAGGAAATCACCCATGCTGGGAATGATCTCTGCAAAGACAAACCCGAGCACCCAGATCGCTACCATGATCAACACCCACACAGTCCATCCAAGCACGGTGTGGCTGTGCGAGTGTCGGGACTTGCCGAGGATGCGCGTGTAGAGGAATTTCGCAGTCACATTGGCGTAGATCACGCCGATGATCAGGGTGGGGACGATGACGAAGCCGAAGGACGATTTCTTGTATGACACCACGCCCAAACTGCCGAAGGCTGGAGCGGTGGAATACTGGCCCAGGTAGTGGAATCCAATGGCTGAAGGGGCGATAAAAAGGATCGCGGAGATCACGCCGAGAACGGCCAATGCTTTGGGGAAATCTTGCGGCCTTTCCATCTCTGAGATGAAGGTTGGGAACAGGATTTGCGGCACCCAGATAAAGGTGATGTTCATCACGGCGTTCATACAGGCGACCCATGTGGTGCCTGGTAGAGGGAAGGCATAGGTCCTCACGGCTCCGTCTGTCGGGTAGCTGCCGTTGTATCCGTAGAGAGGGGCTTTTTCGATACCGGCGTAGACGAGGAAGAGAATAACTGCGATACCCATGCAGGCGGCTGAAATGGTTAGTTGGGACATCTGAGAGCTGGGGGATTCAGCTACTCACATGAGAACATTGACATGAGGCTAACATGTTGCAAGGTTCGGGGGAAGGACATGACGATTCCCATGATAGTCACGATTATCGAGAAGACGGCAGTGCACAATGAGTGATCCGAGAGGGTATTCAGGACCTTGGCGCCGGTCAAGACGTGGAATCCGATGAGGAGAATATTGTTCGCAAGCATCATGAATGCGGAGAAGATGTAGGCAACTTTGCTCTGTCCGAATACATGGTATCCGAAATCGCCTGGGAATTAAGCTGTTAGTTTTCTGCAAGTATAAGGATATCGGACTGTAACTCACAGATATCCATAATATGAGGATGCTTCATGATATATTTATGCATCGTGATCGAGGTCACCCAAAAGAAGAATCCGCAGAGGACCATAGTAATGATACCGGGAACCCATCCGAGGACGCTGAAAACACCGTCAGCTTCATTGAGAATAGATATTCGAGCGGTTACTCACGAGAGGGACCAAGTCTGCGCCATAATGGCCAAGCAAACCTGCTCACCGGCAAGCAGGCAGGCCGTCTTCTGCCAAGTCATGGTCCGAAGCTTGATTTCATGCTCATGGTCTGAACGAAAGATAAGGTCAGCTCAGTCCGATAACCACAACCCAGCACAATTGAACCCGTACCTGCAGCGACCAGAGCAGTGATGGTATCGAAATATTCTCCATTGGTCTCAGTGCTGCCCAGGTCGTAACCTGGTTCCTTCCTGTCGTCCTTGGACATGTTGGGTGAAATGGAGGTGATAGGTGATAGGAAGAAGACAAGTCTACAATAGGCACGAGATCGGCTCTACGTTATAAACAAATGAGAGACCAATTACACGTGGATTCGAACCCTGTTTTTCATTTATTTTTTCGCGTCTTTTTTTTTTGGCCTGAGCGTTAACATGGTATCGTGGACGGCCAAGCCAGAGACGGTAAATGGGCGACGATGGCGCCATAATTAAGAGCATCGCGAGATTGGCTTTAGTCTTGTCAGGGGTTAGCCGCATTGCTTATCGCCCGTTGTGTGGTTCTGGCCCAATGGAATTGATTTCTATTGGCCGACCTGCTTGACTTCTCCAAGTCAACGAATCAGGTCAATGCGCATTGCGAACATTGAGCCGACGCCCCCGACGAATCCTTTTATTTCTTGGCGTTTCTTCATATATTTGCCTCCTACGAATACAACTTAAGACTTTTGTAAATAGGATGGGCCCATGTGATCACGTCAAAAGTTTGTCGTGTTTCTATGACACATTGCAATGGCTACAGCTTCGCACTGGCTGAACCCCCGCTCTGTACAGCCCGGTCAACAATCTCCATGGCCTGGAAAAGCTGATAATCGTGCTGCTTGGGAGTGACAACCTGCACACTGAGAGGCGACCCGAGGTACACTCGACGGTCAACCGTTTTCTCGTCCCCTGTAACCGAAGCAAGTTAGCGAAATATCACCTATATATCATATTGGAACTTACACAGCTGCCGATTGGCCTTATCCCAACTCCCCAACACCGGTGCCTCCATTTCGCGCCCAATCTCCAGATCAGCGTCTGTGAACGAGCGGACAGGAACAGAGGCAGCCGGATAGTCTAGCAGCACAAAGGTCGAGGTGTATCCCACGGCATTGTAGCGGTCCATCTCCGGCACCGGGTGGGGCGCCACGGGACAAATTATGGCGTCAACGCGTCGGACGACAGACGAAGCCTGTGACGACAAAGTCCACATCTTCATCATTTCCCTCTCAATCTCAGAGCGCTGAGCCTGCAGCGTCGCCAGTTGAACCACGGTCAAGGCCTTACCGCGCTTCATTCGACCTTGCAGCCAGGGAATGAGGTCTTCGTCCATGCTCTCAATCAGGTCGAGCATATGCGACCCATCGTCAATGCCCATCAGCCGACCCGCTAGGGCTTGGCATTTAGCTAGGACCGGCGGAAGCGGAATCTCCACGACCTCGACGCCGGGGGTACGGCGGAGGCTGTTGGCGACTTCGTTCAGAATTCGCGTGATCGGGGGTAGAGGTGTGACCAGACCATCAGTCTTGAGAACACCAATAGTAAAGCTGTGCCGAGGAGCGGGAGCAAGCGGTATGGCTGGTACCGACCATGGCCCCGGAATGCAATCTTCGCCGAACAGCTCCGCGCGTGGGACGATCTCCGTCATGATGGCGTTGATATCCGCAACAGAGCGAGCCAACGGGCCAGCCACTGCTTGCAACCCTATCCGGCCCTTACCTTCAATCTGGCCGCTCTGCTGGCCTCCAAATGGCACGCGTCCGCTACTCGGCTTGAACCCGTAGATACCCTGGCACATAGCTGGCACGCGGATGCTACCACCAATATCCGTGCCAAAACCGACCATAGACCCGCGCATGGCGAGCAACGCGCCCTCTCCGCCGGTGCTGCCGCCGGCTGTCCATTTACGGTTGAGAGGGTTCAGCGTGCGTCCGAAAAGGTGGTTGCAGCTATCCAATGTTCCGAGTGTTTGTGGTACATTTGTCTTGGCGATCACTACCGCACCTAAAGACTGCAGCAGATCTACTAGCGGGGCATTCGCTTTTGCAGGCTTGAATGCTAGGGCGGATAATCCAATGCTTGAGTCCACGCCTTTTATATTAAATGTGTCCTTCACCGACACCGGAAGACCATGTAAGGGGCCTATCGGGGTGCCCGTGCGCTGGAGGTGATCATCCAGCTCTCGGGCTCGTTGCAAGGCGCAGTCGAAGAGCGGCTCGGTTAGACAGCGAGTGAGTTGCTGGGCGACGGCTGCTCTCTGCCATTATCCAGATCTATTAGTGCCTCGAACGGAGATAATCGGCGTGTGGGCGCACCTTGCAAAACCCTCGCACCACGTCCTCGGCCTTCAACCGGCCTTCTGTCATTTCTGCCACAAGGCTCCGTACATCGTATTTCTCTGTTATTTCCAACTCTTTAGGTGTAAGTATACCACATGTGCGTGGAATATCCATCACCCCGACTCGCTCGTAATTCTTTGGGCCAACGGTGATCGACTCGGAGATTGAGAGCATCCCACTAGGGATGAGGTGTGAGGGCAGGCGCCATTCTGCAGGGATAGCTGCAGCAAGGTCTGCTTGCTTGCGCTGAGCAACTGCCACATAACGGGGTTCCTGGGAGGCCATGGTGGATATGTAGTGAGAAACACCGAGGCGCGGAAGCGTTTTTTTAATGCGGGGAGTGTGGAGAACACCCGCCTCGGCCCAGACATTGCGAAAGGTGTAGTACCCGAGGTCTCGAAAGTCTACATGAACAGATCGGTTCCTTTTGGCTAGTGAGATATCAAATATTTACTAATCAAAGCAGAACACCTGGGCACCTATCTATACCGTCTTTACAGCCACAAATCAAACATTTACAGTCTCCCCTTGATCACAGCTCCACCGTCTGTCGCAATGACCGCTCCATTCAAATGACTCGAAGCCCTAGACCCGAGGAAGACCACCAAACCAGCAATATCCTCGGGCTTTCCGAGACGACCGTTCGGCGAGAACTCCTCCAGATGCTTTATCCCACCCTTGGCCTCAATAAGCCCAGTAGCCATCTTCGAGGGGAAGAATCCCGGTGCAATAGCATTAGTCAAGACATGACGCGGCCCAAGCTCGACAGCCAGATTCTTCGCGAGATGGATAGCAGCCGCCTTGGAAGCAGAGTAAGACGGCGTTGCGTGCTCACCGATCGCGCCAATGCCAATACCCGCCACAGAGGCGGTGATAATGACACGGGATGGATCTGCGACGGTTGCCTTTGCTGTGAGGAGCGGGGTGAACCTAATCCGATGTTAGAATCCTTCTCATCCCTAGTTCCGGCTAGCAAATAACATACTTTTGGATCGTGTAGAACACGCTCTTAACATTCAAATCCATAACCTTCGAGAACATCTTCTCGGGGTGAGTGTCGAACTTCTCGCCCCATGTTGCGCCGGCATTGGCGAAGAGAATGTCAACATGGTCTGTGGTCTTGCCTACCTCGGCGACAAGTCGGTCTAGCTCTTTCATATCTGCGCTGTCGGCCGGCACGGAGATGGCTTGTGCGCCAGGCCGCTTGTTGGGAATGGCATTGAGAGCAGCGACTGCTTCGTCGCAGGCTGCCTTCTTGCGGGAAGTGATGTAGACTTTGGAGCAGCCGGCTTGGAGGAGGCTTCAGATATGTTAGGATATGTCAGGAATAATTGGCAGGGTACTAGAGAGATACATACCCTGAGGCTGCATGTAGTCCTAGTCCCCGGGAACCGCCTGTTACGACAGCGACCTTGCCCTCGAGGGAGAAGATGCTGGAGAAGTCGGAGAGCTTGACTTGTTCTTCGGCGGACATTATGTATGGATTTGATTGAACTCAATTATGTGGGAAAGTGAATTGAGGAAAAAGTGGGCTGCTTCCGGGCCTAGCTACATATTTGTATTTGCACCAGCCGAGTTGACCGAGGCTCGTTGATTCTTCCGACCCCGCTTGGAGCTTGGAAATCTGGGGGATTAGTAATCTATACATACCTTCGATTGACTTTCCTGGCCCTTACGCCAAGACACATTAGTCTATATTAGGAGTTCGTCCGAGAGTTGCGTAGTATCACTCCAGTCGACCATCTGATTGAAAAGCCTGCCTTATATCTAGACGAGATGGTGGTTTTTCTGTGGGACGAATTCGCTTTTCAAGCTAGTGTTTTGGGGTGTTTCACTCGGGCGGTAATTACGTTAGTGGAGACATTTCCCTAAGCTAAGAGGTTTCACTCTTTCTTTCCTCCCTTTGTGTTCATTTGACACTCGCCTCACTTCACAAAAATCTCTGGACCATGCGATACAGCACTTTTCATATCCAGGGGAACGAAATTCTAGAATCGGAAGAGACCGCCCTCCACGACACAGATGGCACTCGACTCTACGAGACCTGGGACTGTGGTCTTCTAGACAGCATAATCCGTCTCAATGACGTTCCCAGGCTGAAGCAATATCTCACTGTCTACGAATGCCTGAATCTTTATAATGAAGATGATTTCTGCTACGACCCGCTGTGTGTCGCAGCGGAGGCAGGGAGCACTGATGTTCTCCGTGTCCTCGTGGATCACTACTACAAGACTAGTTTAACGAAGAAACCGCTCCATCGAAGGAAACACTCATTGCTGAGCGCAGCATGCAGCGGGCAGCATCTTCAGACGACACAGCTTATCCTAGATATGCAGCCTGCGCCAGATTCCGTCGATTTCAATCAATCGGACCGTGATAAAGCGCTGCTGGCGGCTGCAAGGACTCTGACGTATTTGTCTCCGGAAGGTCGCGGATCTGAGACGCCCATTGATCTCGATCGATGGAGGAGCGGTTTAATTGCCCGTGGCGAGAAATTGATAAGCTTGCTCCTCGATAGCGGTGCGTCTGCTCAAGCGGTTGAACTCCCCACCAATGACGTTGAATGGGCGTCTAGGATACTCTGTGGTGGTAATGCAGTCAAAGATGATAGTGATGAAAGCAAACCACTACAATCATTTGGTACAGTGCTTGGTCTAGCCTCCTCTAGAGCCAGCTCTGCGTTGGTGAAAAGACTCATTGACCAAGGGCCCAATATACACGCTAAGGAGCAGTTCCAGCAGAACCATTCATCCCACTCTTGGTATGATATGAGAATGCCATGGAGTGTTACTTCACTTCATATTAGCAGCATGTATTGGAATACGAAGGCACTTCGAACGCTTCTTGACCACTGGGGAAGTGATATTACAGAATCCCTATCCTGTCGCGATAGTAATGGACGTCTGCCTCTTCACTGGGCAGCCGTGGGCCCAGGTTCGGATGAATGCTGGCTTTCTGACGTTCATGTCAAAGATCGAATCATCGATACCCTGAAGCTACTCCTAGCTGGTAGTTATATCAATGCGCGGGACGATCAGGGCGAAAACGCGTTGCACCATGCAATAAGAGGGCACGCATGCTGCTCTGGGAGCGACCACTTTGATACAGTGGTGAAGTTCCTGCTGGAGAACGGAGCGGAAGCAGACGTAGTGGACAACAATGGCCAAACTGTGCTACACAAGCTTGCAGCCAATTGCAAAGCTGGCGATCCCATTGACGTCCATCTGATGGATATTCTTCTATCACACGGTGTCGAAATCAACCAACAGGACAAGGATGGGTATACTGTATTGCATCTTATGGCCAGGAATCTACGACAAGTCCAGGCGACCAAATTTCTGATAAGCAGAGGCGTGGATGTCAATCATACAGATTCCAGAGGAAATACAGCCTTGCACCATTGTCTGCACGTAGGACATATTCTAGACAGGCATGGATGTATGATACCCACATCCGCTGATGAGAGAGAAGCGCTGGATGAGATGCGTGTTGTCTTGCTGGGGGCAGGGGGTGATATTATGATGGATCAGCCCAATGTACGAGGCGAAACGCCACGGCAGCTGCAGTTCAAGAGACTGGAAAACTGGCGGCGGGCTAATTTCCCAGAGCTGTTCCCAAAGCCGGCAGGAAGGGGAGGACCAATATTATCGGGAACTAGAAGGACCTAGTGGATTCTAGAACAAACAGGATTGCAGATCCGTTGGTCGATAGAATTTGATGTAAACAAACCACCTTGAGATTGGGGAGAAAGTGAATATATTCATAGTTCCTCTTGTGATATTAGCCATACTCTAAGAAACGAGGGATTTTGCCACTTTCACAAAGATATAACAGCGCTGGATGGTAAACATGACGATTATGCAGAATAGCTGCAATTATGGAGGCTGTCTGAGTAGCTAGATGCAAATGATATTGAACATGATTCTGGAATAAATATTGAAATCAAGATAGTAGTCGGTTGAGTCTTCGTTTGAATAGAAGCATGATCTAACAACTACAGACTCTTTCACGCACGCGAAACGGCCAAGATTCTCAAATTTAAGGTAATATGTGTATGGAGCGACTGTTCTATCAGGTCTCAGGTGTCATGACCATGGAGTGACCCAAATAGGAAGAGTACCTGGTGCGCAGGTGGCTGGGTGGCTGGGAACCTTCCCGGTTCGGTGCCTTCCCTTTTGGGAAAAATCGTCAACAACCTAACTACCCGTTTGCCTTAAGCCACTGGGAAGGTATAAATACCTCCCTGCCTCCTCCCACTTCCTTCCTTTTTTCTTTCTTCTCCACACCACTCTGGGTCCGCACTACACCTCGTTCCTGGAGTGCTCTTGATTTTTTTTACCATGGTCTTTGCAAGTATCAGTTTAGGTTGTGGCACGAAACATATCTGAGGAGGTAACAATGCTCTACCAGTCGCGTATTCTGACTGACGTCTGTGGATACGGACTGTCCAGCTGCTGCTTGCATCGACCATCTCGAGCTCTGTCTTGTGGGTATCAGGTTAGGTTGTGGCACGAAACATGTCTGAGGAGGTAACAATGCTCTACCAGTCGCGTATTCTGACTGACGTCTGTGGAAACAGACTGTCCAGCTGATGCCCGCATTGCATTGTTCATTAGGAGCTCTGTTTCATCTCCGACCCAATTTTTAGAACCTATCACAGAGATAGCTCTCTGTTGTTCAGTGAAGATTTTTCTGAGGACACTTTGTTCAAGGTTCCTTCTGGTTCCATATCCTGCTGGCCTATCTTTTTTTTTTGCTTCATTCTTATTTGTCTTTTTTGTATACACTGTTGACTGTTCTACAATGCGTGCTGTCCAACCTTGACTCTATTTCTGTTTAGTGTAAATGATATCTTTGCTCAAGCCCACTTTGAGCATAGAGACCCAGTTTCCCCGGCTAGTTCCCCTGTCTCTCTTTGTAAACGAGGAAGACCATTGTATGAGATAATACAGATACCAGATGGTGGATTAGACCTGCTTTATGTAATTCCGGGAATACTCTGCGAGGGCCGACTGAGCAGGTTAGAGCAACTTTGGGAGAAATGTGCTCAATCCAACTCATCCCAATTGCCGTCCACATCCACCGGTGGATATCCACCTTGGTGGCCTCCCGAGGTCTTGACATATGCTTACTATCACGTCACTTCTAGAGAGGGGCATCCCCAGGGACCTTGGTGGTTTATCTATCGCCTACATTTCTACTCTCCATTCTCACTCTTCTCAACTCTCAACACACACATAATCCACAATTCCACAATGTCTCACACTCTACCTGCTCTCCCCTACGCCTACGATGTAAGAACCATCCGATCATGAACCCGAATCTCTTCCATACTAACAATAAACAGGCGTTGGAACCCGTCATCTCCAAGCAGATAATGGAGTTGCACCATCAGAAGCACCACCAGGCATACGTCAACAACCTGAACGCAGCACTCTCCGCTCAAGCCTCGGCAGCTTCAGCAGATGATGTCCCAACCCTGATCGCATTGCAACAGAAACTCCGCTTCAACGGCGGCGGCCACATTAACCACTCCCTGTTCTGGAAGAACTTGACTCCCCCCGGCACTCCTGGGAATGACCTCGGTGGTGCTCCTGCTCTGAGCGAAGCCATCGCCTCCCGCTGGGGCTCGCATGAAGCGTTTGTTAAGGCTTTTGGTGCGGAGCTGCTCGGTCTTCAGGGGAGTGGATGGGGATGGCTTGTGAGTAAGGGTGGTGCCAAGGGTCAACTTGAGATTGTTACGACTAAGGATCAGGATCCTATTAATGCTCCTGATGTGCCTGTCTTTGGTGTCGATATGTGGGAGCATGCCTACTATCTCCAGGTATGTTTATTCTCTTGCTCTACCCGTCTTGTGTGTATTTGTCTGCTAAACTGCTTGCTTGTAGTACTTGAACAACAAGGCTGGCTATGTTGAGGGTATTTGGAAGATTATTCACTGGGCTGAGGCAGAGAAGCGATACAATGCTGGTGTGGAGAACCTGCTGAAGCTTTGAAGTCTATAATGAAGTAGAGTTTTGAGTTTCAATTAGTTTCAACTGCAGCTGCAAATGATTCATGATTCCAATTATGTCTATGAAGTATGTAGAAGCCAGTCACTTTAGTTGTATCCCACCACTCCGATCCCCAAAATCGAACCCCCCTGCTCTCTGACAGTCACCTGTCGGCCGATGACACCCTTGTCCGAGACGCCCAGGTCCAGCCTTTCGGGCAGCTCGAACTCGATCTCCATCGGATTCGCCGTGTTGCAGTTCTTGTCCTGTCCCATATTCAAACGGAACTGGTGGAGCGGAGAGATGGATTGTGATGTAATAGAGAGATCGCCGAATTTCCTGATATGAACTGTCAGCATTTTGTCTTGAATGACTCGTGGAACAGAATCAACCCACTCGATGCGCATATCGACATTTCGACATTCTTTGAGTGCGTGATATGTCTCTGCGTCTTGTGTCCGGAAGATTGCTCTTGTCTTGGGCGTTGTTGCATCCGTGTCGCGGAAGAAAAGAGAGTATGATGACATCGAGGCAATCGACGATGATGATGCAAATGAGGATACTGATTCTGGTGACGAGGACAATGATCTATCTGAAGTGTTCGAGCTCTGGTGAGTGCCTCGGGGGAATAGGACGGCAATGGTGCCTCCGAATGTTGGGCGGTTGGTGTCTCCACACATGGTGATCTATAAAAGTGAAGCTGGTGAAATGAGATGGAATGAGATGGGATCGAAGAGGATTGATATGTATGTGACTATATTGACTGCAGGTAACAAACACAAAGAGAGATGAAAGGAGGCTATCTAAATAGGATTCCCAGTAGGCCCCCAAGGTGCTCAACCTTGGAAGGTGAGAGTGATCGAGCATGACTGAGCACATTAAAGTGGATTTCCTCAAATCTGCTCATGTGGGGCGGATTGATGCCTTACTGCCTTGTTGCCTCAGGATATACTGCCTCAGGCACTTTCCTCAGCTGCGACTATTTATAAATAACCCAGTATATACATCATTTGCTATGGCGCTTATCCCCGTGTCACATGTGGTCAAAGTGGTTAGATATGAGTCTGGGCGAGAGCCGTGTTCGGCAACCATACCCCTCCTCCGCCACAACATACGCAACCACATCAACAAAATGGACCAGCCATCTCCCGCCGAGGACTACTATAACCTAGGCGACTACCGTCGCAATGTGAGCACAACAAATGAAGATGCCCAACTATGGTTTAGTCGGGGCTTGATCTGGGCCTACGCCTTCAACCACGCAGAATCCATCCGATGCTTCGAAAAGGTCGTCGAATTCGACCGGACGTGCGTCATGGGATACTGGGGCATTGCCTTTGCCCTGGGTCCGAACTATAACAAGCCATGGCAGCTATTCGACGGAGAAGATCTGTCCGCCACCACGAGTCGCGCCCATCGCGCGATCCTAGAGGCCAAGAAGCACGCTCCCACCGCGACGCCGTTGGAGAATGCTCTTATCGATGCACTGCAGCACCGGTATCCCCAAGAACAGCCCATAGAAGACTGCACGGAATGGGATAAGAATTATGCCGAGGCAATGACATCAGTGTACAATGATTACCCGGATGACCTCGACGTGACCGCGCTGTACTGCGATGCGCTGATGAACCTGACCCCATGGGGTCTGTGGGACGTGAAGACCGGCGAGGTGGCGCCAGGTGCGAAAACACTGGAAGCGGAAAAGGCGCTGAATCGAGTCTTTGAACAAGCCGACTCCTATGATCATCCCGGCGTCCTGCATCTCTACATCCATTTGATGGAAATGTCCCCCATTCCTGAACTTGCCCTGCCGAAATCCAACTCTCTTCGCGGCCTTGTACCAGACGCTGGTCATCTGGAGCACATGTCGTCCCATATTGACGTCCTGTGTGGCGGTTACAAAAACGCAGTGGCGGCTAATACCTCTGCAATCCGCGCAGACGAGAAGTTCCTCGCCAACCAGCCCCTGGGCCATTTTTATAATCTTTACCGTGCGCATGATTATCATTTCAGGATTTATGCTGCTATGCTGGGCGGTCGATCGAAGGTCGCACTCGAGTCTGGGGCCGAGCTCGCCCGGATAATCACTGAGCCTCTCCTCCGCATCCAGTCGCCGCCGATGGCGGACTGGCTGGAGGGCTTTATCTCCGTGCAAATGCATGTGTTTGTGCGCTTCGGCCGCTGGGAGGATATTATTGCTGCGGAACTGCCGGAAGGCGCAGAGCTGTACTGCGTCACCACTGCTATGATGCACTATGCAAAGGGGATCGCGTTCGCTGCGACCAGTCGTGTTGTGGAAGCAGAGGAAGAGCGAGAACGGTTTCTGGGAGCGATGAAGCTTGTCCCGGCTTCACGGACGATCTTCAATAACCGCTGCATCGACATCCTCCGTGTCGGTGAGGCGATGTTGGATGGCGAGATTGCATATCGCCGGGGCGAATACGATACTGCCTTTTCATATCTCCGGGAAGCTGTGAGGAGAGATGATTCGTTGCCGTATGACGAGCCGTGGGGCTGGATGCAGCCGGCTAGACACGCACTTGGAGCGTTGTTGCTCGAACAGGATCGCGTCGAGGAGGCTGTAGCCGTATATGCTGCGGACCTTGGGGTTGACAGATCTCTGCCCCGTGCTTTGAGGCATCCAGCGAATGTATGGGCTTCGCATGGGTATTTTGAGTGTTTGATCAAGATGGGTCAGAAAAACGAGGCGCGTGCCATGCTGCCGCGACTGAAAGCTGATTTAGCCTGGGCGGATGTGCCTATTAAATCGTCATGTTTTTGTCGGCAGAGGACTGGATGAAATCTCTTTCCTATTTGGGAATCATGTCTTTGACCTTTTGACTATTGGTATACCCGCAGTACCCATTGTAGTTCTTCATATCTACATGTAATATAGCACTATGGTGAAGCTGAGTGAGAGACGTAAAATGTGGCGCAGTCAAACTGCTTGCTGCCGATATTAATATCAACTTCTATTAGGCCCGTGTTGGTGTGAATATGACACCGGAGCATAGTGCTTGGGGTTGATAGGATGCCGGCTCATCAAAATCCAGACGCACTATATATCTCTCACAATAGTGTTGAGATCGACGGATTCTGCCTTGTCCATTGATTAGGCACCATTGTCAACTGATGTCTCCCACGCCTTACTATACTACATACTATATAGGGTTTCAAAATTTCCAACACCCCCGGCATCTGATTGACTACGATGAGGCTATTCCCTGCCATGGCCGATCGACCTCTTACTCTAAGTTCTGCCGAAACCGCCAAGAGAGGCTAGCGCTTCTCCTCTTCATACGATTCGCTCTACATTGGATCAAAGCGCTCTTTTGGTTCACGAAGCTCGAAGTCACAAATCAAATTCGCTCAATATCAAATCGAATCTACAAGGTCCTAGCAAACGTCCACGTGCAGGTCACCTCGATACAGTGGGTGCCCCTCGGCCATGAATCAAATTCGCTCGATATCAAACCGCATCTGCAAGGTCCCAACATACGTCCACGTGATGACTGCCTCGATACGGTGAGTGCCTCTCGGCCAAGCGCTCAGAACCAGACGCGCCACCCCCCTTCCCAGCTTGGTACCCAGGAGCTCCTGATACTCCCTGGTACCGTATTCCCAGCACTGGTATTGATCGTCATCGTACCATTGCAAGCCATGACGGGGGTAAAGACAGGATTCCACGTAAGGCCAGGTGTACAAATTCTGAATGTTGACTACATAAACATGTCGGAGGGTGTCGATGTGATGGTCGTACGCGTACTGCGCCAGAGCGATCTGGGACCAGTAAGGTCCGAAGTGTCTTGTGATGTTCTCAGCGAAGATCGCGCCGTGTGCGGTGCGGTGCTGGTAAGCCGTCCAGCCCTCTCGGCTATCGTCATCCCAGGATCCATATCGCCTCAGGAAAAGGAGGCGCCAAGTATTTGCCATCGAGAGCCCGACCGATTCGAGGTCCCCCACTTCATCGGGTGGGGATCTGAACTCGTTGCGGCATACCTCGAACCTGTACTCCTCGTGCGGGTTTTCGACTATGTCTGCCATGGTGAGTGTTGATAGGCGGATTGGGCATGGGGTTGTGGCTGTATCGGCTATCCATGCTTGGTATTGGGCCCCGATCGCGCGGTAATTGGCGACAGCAGTATCTGACTTGTAGATATCCCAGGGGTCGGACATTCTGGGCGACCTTGAAGGCCGAGAAGGACTTCCATCAATGGTTAGTCGGGGTGAGACTGAAATGAGGCTCGAGATCCATGTTGGGATCATTTGTCTCAAAGGTGTTTGAGGTGAGACTAACGCGTTTTCAGATGATTCGTTCTCGCTGCACTGTTCAGTGGACGAGTGAGAATCTGTGTCATCGCTGGCATGGCTGGCGCCCCTACCAAGAGATGCCGAGGGTGATTGGTGGCCTCCTGGGGAGTCGCTGGGCCCGTCAAGAGAGCAGTGGCGCAGGTCAAAGGCCTGGATGCTAATATTGATACCGGGTCCTTGACATAAGATCAGGGATTGCTCTAGAGCTGGTTGGTTAGCTGTCATGTCAACGTTGTCACTTTCTGATCTGCCTCACCTTGTCTGGCCTCGGCTTGGTCAGCCTCGTGTTGACTAGTAGCTAGACTCATTATCATGATGAGAGTGACGTGGACCTGTGAACATCAAGAGTACCACCTTTGAAGCAGATGGAAAGAATTTCTTTTTGATCCAGCGGTGCAAGAGTGCAAGGATGCAAGGATGCAAGAGTGTAAGTAAACACTGTGTGCTCTTAACAGGTGATTGACGAAGCCCGCGTTATTCTCCCCCTCTAAGAGACTACCTTATGGTGAATGGTCTTCACGAATGCAAATGATGCAAATGAGGCATATAGAATGCAAACATGCAAACATGGTAGGTAGCGACAAAGAGGCTCTGATCTAAGAAATTTCGTTGAAAATAGTAGAAAGAACAAGGAAATAATAGCAATACACATTACTATAATCAGGTTGAATATTGAAGCTCTTGGGATGGAGCCAAAGCCACTATGCAGCAATTATCACACTATACTATGAGATTATGATGGGCTGCCATCCCAAAATCAAGCAAAGTCATACGTGGAATCCCTCTATGGCATATAACTTGACGTTATAAAGAGCAAGGAAGTATACACTGCCTACCTACTGGCCGCCTCAAAATGTCGAGTCATAATATCTATTGGCCATGAAGGTCTCGGGAAATACTGCTTATAATCATATCTAAGCTTGATGTATGTTGCCTGATTGTAGAAAAGCATAAAGATGATACTATATGGCTGTGATGAAGTGCTTAAATACCCGGTCAAGTCCTCCCCTTTCTTAAGCAGCCATCAAGATTAAAGCCCTTCTTTCCCAGCTTCGATATTCCCACTCTATTCAAACATACCTTCTTCCAAGCTCAACTTCTACAATCCCAATCCTCAACATCAACATGTGCATTGTCACTATCTGCAAAAAGGTCTACCCCCGTGGTACCTCATTCTGGCACGCGCACTTCGAGATATGCGACTATTATGCCTCAAACCTCTGTCATATCCTATTCATCTTCGAAGATTTCGTGCGTTTTCCCAGACGCCGTGAAAGTGAACCAGTCAGGTCCCGCAACTTCAACTTCCGAGAACACCTGACCTGGAACGGCGGTTCTGAATTCATCGGTCCCATCTCCAGCTTCAAGCCTTCAGTTGACGAAGTCTGGTATCTGCTACTTCTCATACTGCTCGATTACTGGTTCAACAGAGGCGAGAGAAGAGTGATCCAAAGGGACAGAGTCATCGAGAGACACCTCGACAGACTAGGACCGGGACGCATGTTAGGAGTCATACGTTCAGTGGCCTACGAAGAGGATGATGACTACTACGAAGACGAGGCGTTCTTCCACGAGGAGTATGATGAGTTCTACGAGGGTGATGAGGTCTACTACCAGGATGTCGAGTACTCCCGCCAAGTAGTTGAGTACACCTACGAGCGCGTACAGTACCGTTGAAGTCAATGCGCGTGGTTGGCTGGGGAATTTAGGGCTTGGCGAAGCTTTGCCCGAATGAACATTTCTATGGATTGGTTCATTGTGAGATGGATGCGAGTGTGTTTTATCTTGTTTACCCTCATTCTTTTGGCTATTCATTTCTTATGTCTTTTCGACTTTTATGTTCACGAGAAGCACCTGTCTTTCATTTCGATTTGATGGAGAACATTCTTTGGTTTCAGCTTGATGATAAGGGGTTTTTGATTAATGCTCAACTTAACAAATTGAATGGTCTGATCGCGCGTTACGAAACGAATGCAAAACGTTACAATAGTACGGAAAGGAGTAGTTTCAAGTAAGCAAAATTGTTGACCATTAGATCCAGATTAAATAAACGAAATATAGACAATCCAAGTAGGGGCAAATAAGACTCCTTATATCATTCTAGCAAGCTTGGTAATTGAAAGGCGTAAGCTGCTTTCAGCCCCGCCATGCAAACAGACTTAGACATCTCGAATCTTCTCAAGAGCAGCATTCTGCTCCTCGGCAACTAAATCTGCAGGGATACGGTCCGGTGTCGTGTTGACAAGCAGAATCATGGGGATTACAGAGGCTCCGAGTAGGGCGAACGTCACGCAGCTTGAATCAGGTCAGTTGGCTTTTTGTCAAAAGGGACGAATTCAGATGATTGAACTTACAATCCAATCAGAGGATTAGTTTTAATCTGGGTGTTCATGCCATAGGCAATAGCTTGGCCAACAGCTTCAATGCATCTGAATGCGGCACCATTGCGGACATTTTCTGAAATTGCCATTAGCGTCCAATGCCGTGATGGACTCGGGTCCGAGTCTATGGAGTCACTTACCCTGCGAGTCGGTGGCGAAGGAAGACAAAAGCCAATACATATACGACTGGGACAGCGGACCGGTCGTCTGCACGAAGAAATATGGTAGGAACGACGAAGCGTACAGTCCATCGTCCCAATCGATGGCGCCGGGCTTGTTGTGGTTGAACTTGACCTGCATAATAATGGACCAGATATAGACGCCGACATTGAGGATGATGACAGTGTAGAGGCCGATCTGGGCACGACGGCGCTGGCTGAAACCCTTCATGTCGAGAATGAATCCGAGGCCGAAACAGCCAATGCTGATACGCACCAAGGTTAGTTTGTGTTGATGATATGATTTCGCATGACTTACATGCAAAAGAAAGGCGAGATGAGCGACGAGAGAGCGCGAGCACGGACGGTGAAATAAGTTCCTAGATATGTAGACCAAGTACCACTTTCGAATATTAGCATTATCGCTTTTGATGGTGATGGCAGTGACTGTCGGGCTTACCCGTAGAAAAATGACCAAAGTGCCCAGGGCGCAGAAAGAATAATAAGTTTCGAGCTCAGGGTCTTTGCAATATACTTGAATTCCATCTTGGTGGAAAGAGTTTCCGAAGTGACAATCTTTGTACCGTCAGACCGGACAACGCGTTCGAAGGGTGTGATCAATAGCGCGAATGGTAGCCTATTAAACATCATAAGCATAAGGTTGCAGGCAATTCTCTCTTATAAGAACCCACGCAAGACACTCAATGATCACAAAGGCAATAAACGTATCGGAAGTGACTCCGCCACTGACGCCTTTTTCGAAGTTCTTAGATAGGCTACATAGAGCGAAAGTATTAGTCCAAATTTCCCATTCGAGTCTTTGACTGAGGCATTACTCACTTGATTGCACCGCCGACCAATTGTCCAAGATTTCGCGAAACGATCCACAGAGCCAGATACTTCCCACGGGCGCCGGAGGGGGCAAGCGTCATGATGGCTCCAGCTTCAGCGACATACCAGCAAGCAGTCCCGATACCGCTGATAGCACCGCTCAGGATGAGGTACTAGGAGGGACTTGTTAGATCATGCAGTCACATTTCTTGTCGTTTCCATTGTCATTGCCATCGCTCACCCATTCGTTTCCAAATTTGCTGTTGCAGTAGTATGCCGAGCCTTGGATTGGGAAGGACATTGAGCCGAGAATAAGAGCCCACTTGATGCCGATTTTGTTCACAAGAGGACCTCCGATGCAGCAGACTATTCAAATTAGTATCTAAATACTCATGTTGGGTAATGAAACATACCGACTGCCAGCGTGGCATATCCAATTGAGGTCGAGATATTTGACACCCGAGTAGAGGCAAGACCACCGCCACCGAGGCCTGCAAAACATTAGCGAAAGGTCCAGGCCATTCTGTAGCCTAGCGTATAATGGTGAATCAGTCTTACCGGTAATTGCATCAGCCATTGCTGGTCCACAGAATGCTTGGATGCTCAACAGCATCATCTGTGTCAGACTATGCTGCCATACTCGCTTCCACAGCGGAACGGTGTCCTTGTAGTGCTGCATGTCAATCACAGCACCATGGCCGATGGCATTATCTGCGATAGAAGGAGCATCGTGCGAATCCGAGACAGGAGTCTTTGTGTCGGCCATTATGATAGGTTGTGCCATGACAGGGCTTTCGGGGTCTTTGATGTCAACAGAATTTCGCTTTCCATGCGTGTTGATTTATTCCCCCGACATTGATTGCAGGACCTAGTTGCTTTTTATATGTGAGCTTATCTCTTCTACCCGCAGAGACATGGATGTTCCCCTCTAGCTTCGGGGTCAATCAAGTTCCATTCGGGTCATATCAAGCCGGGTGAAGGTCCACGCGAAAGTACGCGCATTCATGGCGGCGTAATCTTTGTATGGACTTCCAGTGAGCCGATATCAAATGATAACGGAACGAAAGCCGGGGCCGATAACCGCAAAAGGCTATCTCGTTATCGCCAATTTGGTAATTCCCCGCATTGCCAAGGCCGGATTCTGGCCATCGGGGTAATCGATGGAAGGTCCACGCGATGTTATATAGATGGGGATTATCTAATCGCTTTAGCAAGTTTCTTAGCAATTGGTGCCATTCAACTTCTTAAATTCACATCCTGTTTTCCCTCATTCTGGTTTTCGCACCGAAATGACCCGAAAAATGGCGTATTCGCGTACAACCACGAAAGTCGTGGTGGTTGGGGGAGGCGGCACCATGGGTTCCTCAACAGCGTTGCACCTCATCCGCTCTGGGTATACTCCCTCGAATATCACAGTGCTTGATGTATATCCCATTCCTTCGGCTCAATCGGCAGGATACGATCTTAACAAGATCATGGGCATCCGATTGCGCAATGGGCCAGATCTGCAACTTTCGCTCGAGGCTCTTGACATGTGGAATAATGATCCACTATTCAAGCCCTTCTTTCACAATGTCGGCAGGGTGAGTTAGAAAAATAGCCATTGGAGATTCAACATTCCATACTAACACATTCAGATTGACTGCTCGTCATCCAAAGACGGTATTGCAGATCTTCGAAAAAGCTACCAATCAATGCTCGACGCGAACATTGGGTTAGAGAAAACGAACTGGTTGTTAGAAAGCGAAGATGATATACTTGAAAAGATGCCAGTCTTTACAAGAGAGCAGGTAAAGGTAAATTTCACCCGTACACAACCTTGAAGGGCCAGCGGCTAATAAAGTCTAAATTCAGGGGTGGAAAGGCTTGTTTTGTGGCGATGGAGGTTGGCTTGCTGCAGCCAAGGCTATCAATGCAATCGGACTTTTTCTAAAGGATCAAGGTGTCAACTTTGGATTTGGCAAGTATGTAATGACCCTTTTTTAGCTTGTATTTATTTTACTGACGCGAAATTGCATAGATCTGGAACTTTCAAGCAACCGCTGTTTACCGCCGATGGGATCACATGCAATGGTGTTGAGACAGTAGATGGCACTAGATATTACGCCGACAAGGTGGTCTTGGCTGCTGGTGCTTGGAGTCCAACATTGGTAGATTTGGAGGACCAGTGTGTTTCGAAAGTAAGTTCACGATATACTTCTTCTCTCTATCCCGGTTCAAATGAATCAGTTACTAATTATATTCTTGCAGGCGTGGGTCTTTGCTCATATTCAGCTCACACCCGAGGAAGTAGCCAAGTACAAAAACACACCCGTGGTATACGATGGCGAATACGGCTTCTTCTTCGAGCCCAACGAGTAAGCAATCCCTCTTGATCTAATGTTGGAAAGAGCAGAACCGCATGCTAAGTCCCTATAGGTACGGCGTTATCAAAGTCTGCGACGAGTTCCCGGGATTCTCTCGCTTCAAGCAGCATCAACCTTACGGAGCGACCTCTCCTAAAAACATATCTGTCCCAAGATCACACGCCAAACATCCTACAGATACTTACCCAGAAGCTTCCGAGGTCACCATTCGCAAGGCAATTGCGAGATTCTTGCCTCAATTCAAGCATAAAGAGCTTTTCAACCGCTCTATGTGCTGGTGCACAGATACTGCCGACGCCAATTTACTCATCTGCGAACACCCCAAGTGGAAAAACTTCATTCTGGCCACGGGAGATAGTGGGTGAGTTGATAATCAAATGCGGGCTTTTATACCATCAGCGGCTTGCTAACAGCGCATACTACAGTCATAGCTTCAAGCTTCTACCCAACATCGGCAAACATGTCGTTGAGCTGATAGAAGGGTCTCTTTCGCCAGACCTAGCTGATCCGTGGGGGTGGAGACCTGGGGGTGATGCTCTCAAATCTATACGTAGTGCCCCGGCGAAAGATCTCGCTGATATGCCGGGCTGGAAACATGATGCCAAGCTTTGAATTCAGAATGTTTGCATGGATGTTTGTGCATGTAAAGTCCTTAATGTAGACAGACTCTTTGTTTCCTATTTGGACAGAATGGAAGTGTGGTCGTTCTTATCTAATTTATAGAAATTTTCTTTATTCGTAGTTCGCTTGCTATCTAAGCGAGAGTTTGATGTTTACATGTTTGTAGAAGTGGCCAGCTATATAAGTGGGCACTCTAGGCGATCGTCGAACCCGCTTCCACCCCAAAATACACTGCAGCGCAGACCCAGCAGACCCCAACCAAATTGAGGCGGGAGAGACAATAGAAAGTCAAGTGGAAGATAGAAGAATTCGTACAATAACTTCAGCTGGCCCGAGAATAGACCCGGCTCATGTGATATCACGTGAAGGGCCCTAAACACCTTCGAACCTGGGATCATACCATCAGGGATAACCCCTGGGCATCACTGACCATCACTTCCTATGGAAGACCCCATGCTAAGTTCCCTTCACAGTCTAGAAACGAGATATTCCTGAGATATTCCCTTGAACATTTCAAGCACAATCATAATGTCGTCCAGTCAAAAAGGACCTTCCTCCTCGCCATCCTCTGCTTCATTTGGTGCATCCCAACCAGTCAAGAACACCTTTTTGCGTCGGTATTCGACACTTATAGCGATCAAACTCCTTGAGCGTATTCGACCTCGACAAGGGAATGTTCTCATGTTGACGGGCGGAATTTGCGTTAAGCACGGGTGTCGCGTTTATTTATCTGAGGCATCAACAATGCGGTTCATATCGCAGCATACATCTATCCCGGTACCAAAGGTTTTCTGTGCATTCACTCGATCCGGGCGGACCTATATCGTGATGGAAAGGATTCAGGGAGACATAATTGGCAAACGCTGGGTTTATCGAAGTGAGGATTCAAAGGCGAAACTTCTTTCGCAATTAGCTGAGAAAATCCTCGAGATGCGGAAACTTCAACCCCCAGAAGGCAATATGATTGCTAATGTTGATGGCGGGTCACTTTTTGACTGTCGTGTTGCGGGCACTTCCTTGCGCTTCGGTCCATTTAAAAACATCCAAGACTTCCATCGGCATATACGCATGGGCATGGAATTTGATCCAAGGCTTCCCCCTGACATCCAGGAACTTATCAAACAGCACAGCAAGACTTGGCCTTTGGTATTTACGCACGGCGACCTTAGCAGCCTCAGCATTCTTGTTCGTGGAGATGATCTCGTTGGTATCATTGATTGGGAAACTGCTGGTTGGTATCCGTCATATTGGAAATACACTACTGCCTACCAAGTCAATCCACACAACACTTTTTGGGTCCATGAGATTGATAAATTCCTACAGCCAATGCCGGAAGAGCTCGCGATGGACCAGGTCCGCCTAAAATACTTTGCAGATGTTTAATTAGTCCAGACTTATAACTCATGGGAATTGTGTCCTTCCGCTGCATAAAATCATGTGATCGTGTTCCTTCCGCCGCATAAAGTCATATGATCGTCTCCTTCCGCTGCATCAAGTCATAGGTTGGGACCTTGCTCTGATCAAAATCGATGGGAAATATAGTCGTATTCATGTCGGAGAAGTGATAACTTGTTTCAAATCGGAGCTTAGTTTGTCAACTATTCCCAGGGACCTCTATAACTCCCAAATTACTAGCTACACATTCTTCAGATGATACGATACCGCCTCCGACTAGTTTTATAAAGCTATTTGCATAACAGATGATAGTAATAATCCTACAAATACGAATAATGGGTAGTTGGGAGTGCTAGTATTTAGTGGTTGTGTAGATTACTTGATAAAACTCGGTAAATTACATGGCCAGCCAAAAGGCCTGACCCAAAGTAGTTCAAAAGGGTGTGTAGCTAGTAATTTGGGGGTGTATATATAGTAAGTCTAGAAGAATATGGCAGAATGACAAATGGTAGAAGGAGAGCACAGTTGAAGAGAGCTCTGCGACCGGAGTTGAAGATCTGAGGTCCCCCAATCTTGGCTATCACGCCAGCAACTTGATATTGGCAGTGGTAGCAGTCAAACTCGTCTGCCCAAGAGTTTCCCCATTCGTGTCAACAGCCTCAGCAACAAATCTAGCAGAGGAAGACAATGCAAAAGTCGACTTCCAAGTAAAAGCCGTCTCGAAGGAGTTCCTATCCACTTGACCAACCCGCGTCTTCTCCTGCCCGTTGACATAAAAGAATCTCCAAGCCGCAGTCTCGGTATCCCCATTCCAAGAAACATAAAGCTCCACAAGATTCGAAGCCGTTTTCAGCGCAACCAGCGCCGGACTTTCCTTCGGCGTCGCAGTCCAGTTCCCCAGGAAACCACGGTAGCTGACCGCCCCCGTTTCGATAAGGGCATGGTAAAGAATCTCATTATCAGCACCGAATTCCGTGAAAGCACCCTCCGAACCCCAGTTGACGAAGATTCGGTCGTCAGAAAGCAGCTGCGTATTGCCCTGGGATTGGGCCTGGAGATCATAAGGTGCTGTTGCTTTGCGGAGAACCGTCGCCGTGCTGTCTGTGTGGTTTATCTGGATAACCAATGCCCGGGATACATCGTTGAATGTGATAGTGCCGTCGCCGGAGTTATCAAAGAACGAGATTACCTCCGTCCCCAGCTGGCTTGGTTGCGGTTGCCAGCGGGCGTGGTGTTGGAATCCGAAGGTCCAGTTGCCGATTTGTGAGAAGCTGGGATATTTGCCGCCGAGCCGCCAGATGATTGAGCCGTCTGTGCCGTTGATCTTGTAGATCGTGCTCGTGTGTCGGGACGAGAGCAGGTAGTCGCCTTCTTCGTTTTTGTCGAGGCTGTTAATGTGGAAGTAATCCCATGCTTCGGCGGACGACAGTCCGTTATTAGCATATTTGGAGCCCAGTGGCACTAGACTTTCTAGTCGACGGTTAGATATGATCTTTATAAAGTCAGGCAAATTATCTTACCAGAAGGATCAACGTGTTCCAAAGCATTCCACTCAAAGACCAACTTCCCAGTGGCAATATCATTTTCTTGGAAAATCCCATTCCCCAACCACACCTGCGAAGAATTCCCACCATAAGCCGACAAATTCACCGGAGTCGTATAGAAGACCTCAATCAAAGCCGTCTCTCCGCGGATAACATTGAACTCATGAATCGACGAAACACGATGATTCGCGGCAGTCGAGGTGGCAACGTGCTGATAACTCTGATCGAGCAGGACATGCTGCCCAAACCCTTCACCATGCGCACCATCAATACTACCCTGGAAGGCCTGGAGAACAGGTTTCCCCTGGTACGTTGTAGGATGGAAATTCGCCACGAATCCGGCGTAGTAGCCTGTGCCGGCCCACACCAAGTCGCCGTCTTTGCGGTAGATGTACGGGCCGGGCCGTTCTAGTGTCCCGTCCACGGAGTACGGGGCGATGAAAACATATTCGGAGCCATTCGGGTTTGCGGCGGGGATGGTGATGTTTAACTGCGGTGGTGCGAGGTCGGGTCGTGAGCGGTAGTGGTCGTTGCTTTGGTGTAGTGAGGTTGTCGCTAGTGCTGCTAGGAGAGTTTGTTTTAGGAGAGCCATGGCTGTAGGTGATATGTAGGTTTGTTGCGATCAATTGCTTTCTACTATTTACTGTATTCGAAGAGAATTGCATCGCCATCTTATACACGGTAATGGAGATTCTTCTCTGGCGTCTACTAGTAATTTAGCGTGTTCGCGATATTCTTTGCGGATAGCATCATTGTGTCTTGCCTAGGTGTGTTATGGCCTGTTTTATAGAAATTCATTCTCTAGCGAGCTATTGTGTCACCGGTTCTGAAAATGGCGCAATCATATCGTGTAGCCGAGCTAGAACTCTTCGTTGACTGGCCAATTCATAAGAAACATATATCCTAAACAGGCCCAGAATCAATATGCAATGACCAATGTTGTCTTTCCCCTCTTTTGGCAGGCAAGTCGGTAAGTTCAACCAAATGGTGTGCGTCCAACTATTAATTGCTCATCTCGATATAAAGTATAGATTACTTATCAGACTCAAGTATCAATATCGGGCGCCATTTTTTATTTGACGTTTATAAAATGTCCAATGGAGCTGAAGTGTAGCACGGGGCACTTGTGTTTTTACTGTACTCTGCCAGATTGGAGAACCGTCTGAATTGAAGGCTTTAGTTTTCAGTATTACTATGGTTTAGAAGGCTACAAATTGTCTTTCTTTGCAGTACTAAATCCAATGACAAAGGATAATAAAGGCTTGATGCATGCACTATATACTGTAGTGATAGCCCAACTCTCGTATGAACTAGGTGTGGGACACTCTCATGGGATGAGCCTCGGTATTGTACACAAAGGAATTCTTCTGGCCCTTCTGAACTTGCCATGGGGCATCTATACCAGAACCCAGGATTAGCAATGTTTGAAAAAAAGAAGGGTGACTGGGAAGACTAGCAACTTACCCTCGGCATGTACAAGGTATGCATATTTCAGGACTTCAGCAAAGAGGAAGCTCTCCTCATTATCGTACTTTGAGCCACCGCCAGCTGTATTCACGTTGCTCACAGCAGCAAAGCCCGAGTCAGTTCGGCAGGTAGCATTAATCGCCTTGAAACTGTTCCACACCCAGTCGCGGTACTATATGAGTCAGTATATTAGAACATCAGTGGAAGGGAGAATGACCCACGATTTCTTTCCCTGTGACGCGGTACGCGTAGTAGAAACTCTCGATCACTTCAGGGCGCAAGTCATACGAGCCGCTGTTGATGTAGAACCCGGCCTTCTCGTAGAAATCCTTTTGGTCAGATGGCACTTTCGTCGGGTCCCAGCCCCACGAGTCTGGTCCAATGCCGGTCAGGGTCTGGTTGTAAGTAGCCTCACAGCCATTTACGAGCTGCAAGCCGAAATCGATAAAGTCTTGCCGATCCAGCACGGTGCCGCCCAGGATAAAACTGCCGCCATCGAAGCAGGTCAGGTGCTGCGAGCTAAGATCATACTGGCCGTTATTATATGAGGCCAACCAAGTCACTTCCGGGCGAGGGGCGGGGTGCGACTGGAGGTTTTTGATTGTGGACTCGGCTGCGAGGACCCAGCGGTCCTTGTATGACTCGAACCGCTTGGGGTCGTACACGAACATCTTGATCAGGTACTCGTAGAACGAGTCGTCGCCGCCGTTCCAAGTGACAGCACCGTCGGTGAAATGGCCGTTGGAGATGTTGATGTTGCTTCCCACCAGGCCAGGGAATGGCTCTCCGCTTGATGGCTGAGGGTTCAAAAGGTACGACTGGGCCTTCTGGCTTATCTTGGCATACTCATCATCGCCAGTTAAATCAGACAACCGGGTCCACTCCAGCACCAGAGTTCCAGTTACTGCAAGACCATTGGTGGTCGAGCCATCATTTCCCTTGGAACTGATGTTAAGGTTATTGTAGGGAACACCGGATGGTGTATCAAAGGCAAACTTCAAGACATCCGCGAGTTTCTTGGACTGGGTAAGCAGGGCATCGACTTGAGCTGACTTAGGGGCAAGATTGGATGCAGGACCCTTGAGCAAATCATAGCCGGACAACATGCCAGCAAGATATCGGATAGTAGTCTCAAACAGGCTGACCTGGTCCGAGGTCTTCGAGAAGTCAATAGTCTCGATGTGGTCCAGGATCTTCTGAACAGCATCCTGGTTACCCATGACAATGGCGGTTGAAAGCGCATCGACAGCGGAGGCTCCCCATCCATTCCTATCGCGTGTCAGTTTCACAGCAAGAACTGGATAATCGGACATGTTCACCTGGAGTCACCATAACCATTGCTCACGGGGTGCAACTCGTCATGAGGGAAAGCATATTTGACATATCCATTCCATGCATGTTGGAAGGCTTCCTTGACAGCATCGGCCTTGGTCTGGCTGTCCGACTGGCGGGGCAAGATCACCTCTGGCTCAGGGTGAGGATAGGCGGCAGAAGACCCAGCCAGGCCCAGCATCAAAGGTAGTGATAGAGAGGAGATGCGCATGATTACGAAGTGGATGTGGTTGGGTATAGATATACGGGTTTATTTAGGCAAGATTCGGTGCAGGGGGGCACATGTAAGAATAATTTGAATTGCAAACGAGAGACCACCTGAACTGCGACACAGCAGGTCAATGCAATTCTTAAATATGATGGGAGTGCGGAATGAGGATATAGTGAGGTTGCAGTTGACAAGACAGAGGCCAGGCGAAAGAGGAAGGCAGCACGCGGGCAGACACCCACACGCGACCCCCAATTTGTTTACTATTCCTCATGTCACTTGCAGATCTCCATAAAATCGGGAAATAGTCGGGAATTGTGCATTAGATGCCATTCCTGCCAAATAAAAGGGTCCAATCGGACTTTGAAGATCCAGGGGCATGGGGGATCTGCAAGGACGCCACCCACTATTGGCATCGGAGAATGTAAGAGGCCGAAGTATCTTTGGTCTCAGTTTTCACATAACTGAGTTGTTGCTTTGTAGATATACTCGAGTATTCAATGTTCTAGATCGACCTTGACTCAGATTCTAGAGAACTATACGGGTGACCAAGCCAGACGACCGCTTGACGTGACGAGAAAACATGACGCTGTCTTCGGAGGTTCATATCCATGGCATCTAGGATGTACCTGACTAGCACGGTCTTGGCTAAGGAAGAGCACGTCCTGTCACGCCGCTTTGACATGCAACATACCCCTCAGCGTGATGGGCTTTGTCACCGGACTAGAGTGTCTGACCCCGTCAATATATGTCTATGTCACCTTCTCCACGTTTTGAGGGAGATCCTGATGGACTTAGATCCAACCAAGGAACATTTATGTCGATCATACAGGTCCGTGCCGATGGATTGTGCATTCGAACTCCAACCACTTGTCTCATGTAGTTCGGAGATATCGGTCGAGAATACAACATGTACCGGCTATTGAACACCATACCCTGGCATCTATCCTTCTTAGCACCGGATAAATTTCCAAAGCGTGATATATATCGCTTAGTTGTAACATATGCCCTCTGCTGTCATTTCTACGCTAGGCGGTGCTAAGTTAAGTCATCAATTTACAATCATCCATAGCATCATACCTGGGTAGCATCAGTAAAATAACTAATATAAAAGACTTTGCACTCTGGTTGAGAATCAGGTTTCTCGATGTCAAAGTCCTGCAGTAGCCGTAGCTAGTATACTTGGCAACATAACATTGGCCGTTCAACTTATATTAACGGGGGTAATTGGTGGAATCCCTGTTCTCGGAAAACAGATGAAGCAACTACCTCCGCACTGCTTCATCTTGCGCTCGGAAAAGTGATGATCTTTTAGCATATCATCGCCTTTAATGATAACCCTTGATGCAGGTGTACACGAGCAAGTAGCCGTTTTTCTTGCAGATCTCACAGTTGCAGCTATTGGCAAGGTACTCGTGCAGGGGCAGGGATAATGTAAAGTTAAACTGCACGGCACCTCAATGGCAATTGCCAGATTGGGAGCTGTTATGACCGGTGAGGGTTGGTAAGAATGCAGACTGAATTGTACTTCCTGGGGGTTGAATGGCTTACGCTTAAGCCTGCCCATCTTCGGTGTGGAATATTCGAGGTGTCAACTTGACTAGCGGAGATACTCCCAAATGGAGCTGCACGTATCCGTGATTCACCTCGTCTTACCTGTTCTCTTTTGATGCTTCGGGATCTTGCATCTGATATTGTAAGCCAAAGATGTCGCATGTGGCACAAAACCCAACGGATATAATCCGATCCTCCGTGTCTTTCGACCCATGTGGCTCATGCTCTGTAGTCCAATGCGTTGATGTAAATGCTTGGCAATGGAGCCATACTCGGGTGCAATTTTGTTGTAGAAGTCACCGGGTTAGGAGACACAAAGGTGACCACTGTGGCAGGACTGATCTGAGGTGGTGAGTCGTGTCCTCAAAAAGCAATATCTCCATGGCATATGTCCAACTTTCAACACAGGACTGGGAGAAACACCCGTGGGCGAATACAGTAATATCGCGGGAGGAGACAGGCGCTATTACAGCATGGCTGACATTGTTCTCGGGAGGCCGCTTTTTGATCACCCAAAAGCCCAAGGCTGAAGTTTTCCTTAGGAGAGATTCCATATCTCAAGGGTTTCAAGATCACCGGAATAGTGAAACCTCTGTGTATCACGTTGTCTATGAGATGGCTCATAGTTAAGGCAGGCATGGTCCAGGGACCTCATGAATGGAAATCTGTTATAGAATGTGAAAATGCAAAATGCAATGAACACGGTAGATCAAAATGTTATAGATCACAAAATAAGATCACCAATAAAATCCCACGATAAGTCGAGTTGGATGTAATCAAACGATGATTCAGCGGGTGCGGGCCGGGAAAAAAAAAAGGTAGCACAACCTTGGATGGGAGTCATCGCTCTCCTCCACAATCCCCCCCTCCCCTATTAATTCAAAGGGTCCTATTATTTAGGGGATATAATTCTCCCCTTCAATCTTTTGATCCTTAACTACTACATCTACCTCATCATGGCGACCCCGTTCCTTATCTCCCACGACCCCTCCTCCCCCACCTCCGGCTCCGGACTCTCGCTCAAGCAGATC